ACGTTAATAAATAAATGAACAGGTGAACTAGTGTTTATGAATAGACAAATAGGTAGAAGTTGCTAGATCACGGCTATAAAAAGAATAAATAGTAAGTTAAAAGTTGGTAGATGTATATCAGAGTCAGTCATGTTATATTTTTTACAAAATCAATCATATAATTAAATGGACGATCAGACATGTTATATTGTTTCAGTAATTATATACATATTTTGTAAAACAACACATTTCTTTTAATTAAAAATGATATTTAAGTGTGAAAATTTAAATGTAGTTGTTTGATGGTTAAACGTAACATTAAACAACCCAATATATAACTTTATATTCAACTGTACATATTTTATTTGCTATATTAATTACGTACCACTATATTTATATATATAAAGAAAAGCAACAAAACATTAAATTATATTATCATGCATTAAATTTTATTCTCATGCATTAAATTTTATTCTCCCTCCAAAATTTTTAACATTCAATTTCATTTTTAAGTTACAAAATAACTTGCTTGGATACCATAAATTATGAGCATAAATCAATCAAGAGAGTTACAAAATTGTACTCAAATTTTAAGTCACACTCACTCATGAAAATAGCCAGGTATATTAGCATAAAGAAAATGGTTGTAACGGCTCTTCCATAGCAATTACTTGATCAAAAAAAATTTTGAAATATTTTCTTAATTCATCTTTTTTTTCATGTATTAAATTATGATTTATTTTTGTTTTTTTTATATTGTTATTTTTTTAAAGTATTTTTTTCTGTGCAAATGCACAAGTTGATTACTAGTATAACTTTGTATTCAACTGTACCTATTTATTTGCTATAGTAATTATGCGCAAATGATATAGAAATAGTATGTCAGAGGCAATATTAATTATTGTGTTTTTTTATTATTTATATATATTCTTATATATATATATATATATTAATAAATGAGACAAACTAGAAGCCTCAATAATTATAAAAACAAATAATTAGAGTAATATTAAAAATGAAATGCTATGCGTGATTCAAAGGCTCCATTTCACATGATTCATTATTACCGTCGATATTAAATATAGTATACCAATCGCAACAGAAGATAAGGATAGATATATTTAAATGAAAAATAAAGATTTATGATATTATGCTAATCTAACATATTAAAAGTTGTTGTACCTTATAATACAAGTGAAGTGTAAACGAGCATGGTCGATGTCTTGGTTTGAGTTTTTATAGAATTGAGTCTTTATAATACAAGTAGAGTGTAAAAGCAACAAACCGAATTCAAGTCTTAACAAATTTATTATAGATACATAAGAATTTTGTTTTTGAACATTATCGAGTCTTAACAAATTTATTATAGATACATAAGAATTTTGTTTTCGAACATTATCGAGTTCAAGTCGATTCCAAATCCAGTTAAGAATATATGAGTTGCCATCATTTAGGCACAATCATTTTCTAAAATTTAGCACATAATCAAATTTTTACTGCTGCTATAGTGTTAATTATTCGATAAAAATACCTAATTTTTTTATTTTTTTTACCGACCTTGTTGAATTAACCTTTACTTAAATACTTTACACATAATTGAAAACATAAATAAAAAATAAAAATAAAAATATTGTCACATATCATATTCCAATAACCACCGTCTCATTTCATCTCCAAGCTTCTAAACTCCAAAACTCCAGCCCTCAGGCCCAGAAAATCATACCCAGATTTAATTTTAACGCCGTTAACTACATTGACAGAATTATTATTTTTATTATCGTCATAATTATTATTACTCTCTTCTTTTATTCTTAACGGCGCTTGATTATGCTGCTGGTACGGTGGGCTGATCCGGAGCTCCAGATTCAAGTCGGGGCACCGCAATTCTCTTACCGGGCTCGGGCTGTTAGCCCCACCTTTGCCGCACGGGCTTCCACGCGGGCTTTTGACGGTTTCATCTTCCTTTGTATTTGGGCCTGCAAATGATATGTTTGTGACGTCTCGAGAAGACGGTACTGCTGTGGTTATGGGCTCTTTAATGGGCCTGTGAGTTGTTGGGTCAATCCCTCGGCTCAAGAGTTTTCGTCTGATGTGTGTGTTCCAGTAATTTTTTATTTCGTTATCTGTTCTTCCTGGTAACCTCCCAGCTATAAGGGACCACCTGCGATAGAGAAATTAATTGATTAATTAACTATTAATGACGGGCTAATTAGGGTAAATAATGTTTTAAATGGGATTAAAAGGTTTTATTATGTAATTGTTCAATTTTAATAACGCTTATGACTTTTATACGAAAATTACACCTCATCAAACGTCCCATCAAATTAAACAAAAATTCACAGGTTAGTTTTAGTTCTCTTCTTCAAAAATCATATTTTTTCATTCAAATTCCAATTTCATTCCGTTGAAAAAAATGATACCGTACAATTATGACATCATCATATAAACGAGACCTCTAGTTCCTAAAATCATATTTCAATTATTAATTAGTTTCATCACGAATAAGACGAGTATAATTGTGACATCATTAAACAAAAATTGGAATACAATTTTGAAACAGAATTATCTTTTTTCCCAATTTTTCATAATCAATCTATCTAAATATATCTAATTGAAAAAGCTTTCATCTTTAATTGGAGCTTACTTGTTGCCAAGAAGGCTATGAAGTTTGATGATGAGCTCATCTTCATCTTCAGTAAAGTTGCCACGTTTCAAATCTGGCCGGAGATAGTTTATCCACCGGAGCCGGCAGCTCTTCCCGCACCGGAGTAGACCGGCGGCTTTTGGCAGTGACCGCCAGCAGCCCTCCCCATGGGCCCGGATATAGGCAACTAGCCGATCATCTTCTTCCTTAGTCCACGCGCCTTTGTTCGTGTGGGCTTTCTCACAACATGGTGATCTTCCCATTCTTGATCTCAAAACCAAAAAATTAAAAAAATTAAATATATATGTTTTTTATTTGTTTGAGTATATAATCTTGCCCTTCTCNGTGGCATTAATAAAATTAGGTGAAATTGGCAATAATTTAATTTATAGGTAATTTTCAGGTGGGTGCAAAAGCAAAAAGGTATTTAATAAAAAATAAAAAAAAAAACCAAGTAGGAGGTGATGTTATGTATATCCTCCTCCCCCTTTCTTTTGGCCAAACTCATAACAACCTTTGATTAATGTTTTAACTAACACTAAACATGTTTAAATATAATAATAAAAATGAACAAAATGATAAATTTAGGTAATATCATTTTATTGTTGGAGCCAATTGATATGTTTTGATGGTATCTCAATCAGGTGCAGTCAAACATGTCTGTTCACAATTCTAACAAATTCAAGAAAATGAATTCTCCAAAATTTTGTTTAGATCACAAATGTGTAGCAAGTTCCATGCACATATATTTCTTCTTATTGGACCAAAGGTGGAAAACAAGTGAGAATAGAGGTTGTTAGTGATTAGAAATATATGATTATGTTATACAGTTATTGTGGTTGGGATTTGGCAGAAATTATTATTTGTAAATTTGAAATAGCATTTTTCTCACTCAAGTCATGATCAAGCAAAAAAAAAAACTAGTGATGGTAGGTGCTTGTGCTTTATTATTCTATCGGTGCCCTTAACAAGCACAATGTGCTATTTTATGGTAGATTTTGTTATAGAGCTTCTAGAAGTAGTAATTGGGGGTTGGGTGCAAGTCAATAGGACACAAGAAAAGAAACATAAGATAATGACTGTAGTTGTAGTTGTAGTTGTAGTTGTGTGTGGGCTTTGGTTCACCTTCCACTTTCGCTTTATATTTGTTTAGGCATCAAATGTGGTGTAGGATTTAAAGATTTATGCAACTTATGGCTTTTATAGTCCATAGTTATGATGTACATCATTTAACCATATGGTGTGTGATTCATATAATTTGTTTGCAAATTATTGTGTGATGCAGTTTAATTGTTAATCGAGTTAGTCCACCGTGCTCCTTTTTTTTTTTTAGAAAAAATAAAATAAAAATATATACATATATGTTATTATGAAATGTCATTCTTTTGTCTATATTGTTTTTCAAAGTATAATATTTCTATCTAAAAAATTGTACACGATTATTAAAAAAATATTGTTGCCTAGTTGTGAGATCGCTCACATTGATTTCGAAACTATCCTACACACAATGAAAATGCTAGTGATTGTATTGAAACGCCATGATCAGCAAATAATAACCCGTTACTCTCCTCCATAGTTATCAATATTATCACACACTACATAAAATTGTCATATTCTAACAGAAAATCCTACAATAATATATTTCAATAGAAATTTCAACGAATATTTTAATGGTATAGCTTCTGTTGGAATGACTTAACAGAAATTCCAAAGGAATTATTCTGTTGGAATTAATTTTACAGTAGAATTTTAGATGAAATTTGATCATTTCAACGGTTTTATACAGTAGAAATTTTCGTTGGAATATGCAATTTGCGTTAGATTTTTATTTAACCCATATTCAACCGTTGGAAAATCTACATTGGAATAGTGAAAATTGAACGGAAATTAATTTCAATAGAAAACTTTTATTTCCAATGTAATATTTTTGTTGGAATTTTCAATGGAATCAATTAGAAAATTCCAAGACATTAGAATATCAACGAAATTGCCGTTGAAATTTAATTATTTTCTTGTAGTAACATATTTCAGGTTGACTGGATTGACCCATGATACTTCCTTAAAAATAGTACATGTTCGTATTGTAAAATATCATACTATTGTAATTTCTTTTATAAATTTGAATATAAAAGTATGCATATTTATTAAAAAATACTTATGTCTAACCGTTAGATCTGCAAATACTTATGTCTAACCGTTAGATCTGCATAACAAGAATATTACCAAATAATTGGATGTATAAGTTATTGGGGAGTAAAAACTTAAAGTACATGATCATATGTGTTGTTATTACTCAAAGTTATCAAGTTGCCCACCAACACATATTCTTTTTTCTTCTTCTCCATCAATTTGGTATATGTGATCTAATAATAAAGAAGCTAGATAGAGAAAGAGAGGTACCCACTTCTGTGTAAGTTCATGTGTTTATTTTACCTACCTTCACAAATCACAAACTTTTCCCCTACTGTCATGGCCTAAAAATGGCTCCACCATTTTGATGTTGAAATTATAGCAATGTGTACGAATTTATATCCATACGAATATTATCTCCCTATCAACCATAAAACAATCTAAAAGTATATAATAAAAAAAATGAGCCTCTCTTGAAAAATAAAAAAATAAAAAAAAATGCTTCCCTTCTTTCTCAAAACACACCAAATATTCAAACTTTCCCACGTCATGTTGACAAAAAAAATCGTTTTTTAATAATTTTTGCCATTGATGACATACACAAGTACAACTAATTCGTTATCATTTATATCCTGCCATTATCTTGGTCTCTCACTTTGTCAAAATTGGTGATCTATGGATTGATCCAAGCTTGGCCGTTAAGTCCTACTCAAATTCCCAAATGGAGAAAATATTTTATCAATAAAGAACAAAAAATATCATACCGCCAATCGTTATGCGAGATGATTTGTCATATAAGCATAATTATGCTATGTATTATAATACAAAATTACATTGTATCCCTTTGGAATACAAAACACAATTGTATAGCAATTTTAGTTGTTTTAGTCTTTAGTATAAATAGGTAAATTGGGGTTTCCACACATAGTTATAAAAATATGTTATACATTGAACTCACAATTAATTAATTATTTAATAATCAAGTAAATCTAAATCATTATTCTTGATATTTGATGGACATTCCAGATCTTGATAATTTGGGTAAGCTAAAATTAATTCATATATTCTCTGCTACATACGACGAAGGTCAGTGCAGAGAAATTAACTTATACGTCAAGAGAATCGTGTATGCTCATCAAGATAATTATGACAAATATTTCGTATACACTAATTTGTTTATTTAAGATCCGTGATATGCTTAAACAATCTTTGTTTTACGATTGATCACAATATACTATAAAATGTTATACTTTTATATATGTATTTATTTTTCTAGAAAAGTGGAGACATATGTCTAATAGAGTAGGCAAATGTGGTGCGCAAGTTAGATTTTTGTGGGTTATCATGTGCTTAGGTATAGAACTGACTTGTGAATTTGTCCTAAGAAATGGCCGTTACCTACCTATTTCCCGTCGTTTTCGCTTCCCTGTCCGAGGCCCCTCCACCATTATTAACCGTCGTGAAATGTGAAACTGTTACGTATTTGGGCCCTTTATCGGGTGGCCCGAATTTAGGTGGGACTATATTTTGCTCTAAGTTACATAATAGCGCTATCATGAAGAAAAAAATAATCATTTTGATTTATTTAACTTTTGTGGTTTTTCATCTTCGTTCTATGATTTTTTTTTTTTTAAGGAAATATCAGCATGGTGCAGTATTTTTTTAATTGTGTATAATTTTTGGTATAAAAATGAAACAGAATGGAATTTTAGTTTAGACTGACATTTTCGTTGATTGCAGACACAAATCTTGATCCAAATGGGGAATTTACATATACAAGCCTTTACTAACTAATTTTTAGATTAGAGGTTGGACGGCAATTGACATTTTTCAAGTTATGGGAATGAAAAATATAAATTTTCTTATACCAAACTGAAATCCAAAACACTATCGAACGAAGTTATACAAATTTAAAGTTACGTGTATCAAATTGAGCACTTCAAAAGTTATTAGACGCAATGAAATGGAAGTACAAATTAATATATAAAATTGAAATTCCAACAAAATTAAAGTTACATATATATATATCATATTGAACACCAAAAAATTGCTGGATGAAAATGAAGCAGCATTAAAAATATTATACATAGTGAAATTCCAAACAATTATTGGAGAATCTATTAAACAAGAAAAAAAAAAGGTATTGATCAACTAAAATTATACTTTTTTCCTAGCTACCATGATATTGGATTTTTAGAAAGCTCAAGAAGCATAATGTCTAGTAAATAGAAGATGGGTGATTAGTAACCAAATAAATTAATTAATTAAAAAAATTACAATGTATGTTTAGTACGAATGGCCTTTCATTCACATAGTCCACAAGTTGGGGCCTTTTGCGTTTTCCCTTTTTCTGTCTTAAAAAATAATGCTTGTTCCCATAGAAAAATAGAGCCATTCCAAGAATAGAGTTATCACTTGCACATCAATCGCTGTTTTTAGAAAGCAGCACGCAGGTAACACAGCGACAAACGAAAATGAGGAAGAACATGAGGAAACTTCACAAGATTTGAACTTGCACGATAATGTTTCATAACAAGACGCTCAAAGTCAAAGGGAACAGGTGTGCAATTAAATTTTTGCGTAATGATTGGGAGAAAAACGAAAGAACTGAGAAGCCCTATATCTATGGTTTAGAAAAGGAAGGTTGATGTTTCGTTCTCTTTGAATCTAATTGCGTACAAGGACAGGACGTACAACACTTAATTAGACGTGTAAACAGGTCGAGCAAGTTCAAACTCACGGTACTCGAACTCGAGCTTTTCTCAAGCTGTTAACCAATAAATGATTTAGCTTTTGGTTCATTTATCAATATTAAGGAGCCAGATTGGAGTCAAATTAATAGACAATTATATACAAAAAAATATTTTTCAACTTTAACGAATCGAGCAACTCACGAACAACTCAACACTTAATCAAAATTCATAGGCTATTGTGAGTTCATGATGTTCATCAAGTTCTTAAACGTTAAAACATATTTGTAATTATGCAGGACCAAGAAAATGACACATTTGAGGGGAAAAAACATCAAACATTTTCTCAATTTACACTTTAAAATGAGATTTTAGATGAGGACCAAGTAAAAAAAAAAACGTGAAAACCAGCAGATGCTAGAGCTCAATTATTTGAACGACAGATCATAGGCTCA